CTTGCGCCGCAACACAGCTGATTCAGAGGGCAGGGAGGGGGGAGGAGGGGGAACGCTGCGCGCTGGGGGAAGAAGCAGGGCTGGGGCGGGAATTTGGGGAAGGGATCCAATAGGGGCAGGGAGGGGGCAGAGTTAGGGCAGGGTCTTTGGGGATGGGGTTGGAATGGGGGCGAGCCAGGGGGCGCACAGGGGCTGCCGGCCACATGCATCCACTGCAGGAGCCCCCGGGGGGGGGCCGGGCCGCAGCCTGGGCAGGCGCGACCCCCAGCTCCCCCCTCACCACGCTTGGGTTCTGCGGCTCCTGGGCATAGAAGAAGGACGGTTGTAGGCGGGAAACAGCAGCAGCAGCAGCACGGCCTCTCCTGCCCCATGGCGGGCTATGCTCCCCGCCTGCCCCTGCTGCTGCGGAGGCTGCCACTGCCCTGGGCTCGGGCCGCCTGGCTTCCCCTGAGCATTGCCCTGTTCCTGCTGCTCTCGGCTGGCAGGTGCGGAGCCCCAGCCGAGCCCAACCCCTTGCGTCTCCTTCGCAGCGGCACCCCCTGCCCGCCTCCTCCTGGGCGGCCACAGTGGCAGCAGCCGGGAAGCTTGAGAGAAGGAGTGGCCCCCAGGCAAGCGGGGGAGACTCCGAGGTGAAGAGGCTGCTGGTGCGACCCAAGCGCTGGAGACTGACAGGTACCTGCCCCTGCCCCATCCCGGCAATGCCTGCCCCCCAGCCCAGTGAGTGTTACCTGTCCCACCAGCCTCAGTGCTCGGCCCCATACTGTCAGCCATCCCCAGTTCACTGTGACACCAGCACCCCTTGGCAAAGGGCCCCCTGATCTTCACAAACAGCTGTCACTGCAGGCCTGACAAACTCACTGCACCCCACACGTGTCTTACAGGGCACTTACCCACAAAGAGAAACGTGGAAGGGATCTACACAAGGCTGGTAACTTGTCAAGAGTGAGAATCTTTGTGAGATGTGTGCATGGGTAATATTGAAGGAATAATGTATTTACCTTAAAAGTCTGCTTTATAGACTTGGAGTAGAAATTAGTCACCAGGGGCAAGGGGGATTTGTCACCCTGCCTAACCTGGCTGGTGATGCAATGCAAGGCTCAATTGTTTAGCTTTGCACAATAGTAAGACTTTGAATGGGACACCATCAGAGGCAATGGCAAACAACTGAAATGCCTTAAAGGTAAAAAAGAAACATTACAAAGCCCTTACCCATTCTGACAGGCTGTTTATAATGCTAAGTTTACTAGTTTTCGGAGGTTGTGGGGGCGGGGGAGGAAAGGGGGCGCAAGGTGGAAGTTTCGCCTAGGGCGCAAAATATCCTTGCACCGGCCCTGACTGTGCTCTATTTTTATTAGTAAAGTCCAACTCATAGAAGTGCATGTTGAACTAGGAAAGGGAAAGTTGCAAAGTTTGTGATGGTTGTTAGATCCTGTGGAGGGTTTGTTAAACAGTCTTGGACTAGACCCTGGGAAAGTGCCATCTCATGTAGAAATTAGCTTTGCCCTCAGGGTATTATTATTTATTTAGAATTTATTTGGCATTTAGACAGTTTCATTGTGCCACAGGAACAGAGCTGTCAACAATGATCCTCATCTTGCAGATTTAGTTTATTTACCGGTCACGTGTTCCAGGCCCAGATCATTAAGCACTTTGGGTGAAACTCTGACCCCACTGAAGTCAAGGAGAGTCTTGCCATTGACTTCAACAGGGCAAGATTTCCCCTCTTCACAATAAGGACTGAGATCTTGAATAGAATGTGATATTCTGCAGTGATACTTCATTGTCCATGTGATCATTTGTCCTCCATCTTTGAACATTGCTGTGGCTTTATAGCTTGGCACTTTACAACTAAAAAATCCAAGGTTGGATAAGTATTCAAAATAGTTATTGCTACCCACTGAAGGAACTATAGCTACATCAGGAAGTGTACTCATTCTTTGTTATTAAATCTCTTAACTTAGCATTTGTGAAAGGTGTTTGACAGGAAAAATAGCATAGGGACTTTCAGGTCTCCTGTTAATCCACAATTAAGTGTGTTAAAAGATTTTATGATTTCCACTGAAGCATCCAGCATCTATTCTATATAGGTTTTTGTACTGCCTTCATTACCATAATATCCAAGCACCTTCCAGTTATGCATTAATCAATGTGATTAACATGTGCCACATGTGGTTAATTTTCTTTCTCATCCTCTCCCCAAGAAGGAAATTGATGTGCAGCGTAGTGTTTTGGTGGGGTTTGATTTTTTTTAATGAAATATGTACATGTGCCATGTGTTTGTTAGAGAAGGAAAGGACAAAAATGCATTTTGCTCTTAGAGCACAAGGTGGTGGGGTTTATGATGGTCCTTCGTTCCTGTGGGAATTCACTCCACAGTCTGGATCTGGCTCCTGAGAAAGCTCTGTCCTCTGCACAGACAAGCTTTACACTTGAGACAGAAAGTTCTATTGCACCTGAGGAATGGAGCTTTGCTGTGCACAAGACATTGATCATCTTGAAGATAAGAACTGAGATCTTGAACTTGACTTGATATTCTATCAAAAACCAATGTAGAGAGCAGAGGACAGGTCTGATGTGCTCACAGTATCCTGTGTTGGTGAGGAGATGCACTGCAACATTCTGTACTAGCTGGAGTTTCCTAAGGGCTGATGGCTTCATGACCAGGTATGAAGAGCTGATTGCTTCACGCTTAGGTGTTGCATTGCTGTAATCCAGCTGAAAGGTGACAAAGTCAAAGACACATATAATCAACGCCAGGTCATTATCTGCCAGGATTGGGTGGAGTCTCGTACCCAGACAGAGATGGTAGAAAGGATTACTTGTAAATGGGGCTATGTGAGAGCTTAGTGTCAGCAATGAATCTAGGAGCCCTTCTAAACTGTGGACTGAACTGACCAATTGTGGGTATAAGACTTCAATCAAAGGACTCTCCACTGTGGTTGCAAAAGTTCTCTCAGTTCTTTCCTCTGACAATCAGCATCACCTCTGTCTTGCTTCTGTTCAGCTATAATCAGCTGTTCTTCATCCATGAACTGAGCTTGTCCAAGCACTGGGCCATCTTGGTGGTAGTTGTGTGTGTGCTGAAGGATAAGTAGAGTTGTGTGTCATCTGCATCCTCTCCCCATTTAAATCCCTTCTTTAAGATTCACTTTTTCTCTGATACCTACAAGAAGTGCACCAAAAATAAATTTTACATCTCTCCCCTTCCCAAGTTATCCAATCCCTTAGGCTTCACAATGCCTTCTGTTTTTGTGTGTGTTTGTCTTTCACACTGTAAATTCCAAGGGGCAGCACGTGATGAAGTAGGAATTTCTGTAATATTTTTATGAAGCCTATGAGTGCCTCAGTTTCCCCTATTTGCTGCAGTGTTACCTGAGGGGAGGACTGTTTGCTGTCTGGGCAAGCTAAAACACAGGTGTGAATGGCACCTCACTGTCTGGGGTCTTATGTCCTATGTCAGTGGAGCTCTTGATAAGACAATAGTAAATCCAATTGCCCAGACATGGACATTTAGTAAGCAGAGACCCAAAGAGATATGGACTTCTGCGCCTCTCAGCACGGAGGCCGAGCCACATCTCCCCAGCTCGGGAACAAAGGACTGGGGAGTAGAAGTTAAGTGTGGGCTGTAGGAAGCCATCAGGATGCACCTGAATCTGGACAAAGATAGGTGTGAGGCACAGAGCTTTGGGCTCTGTGCTGAACAGGATGGACTATGCTGTAATTTGCTTTTCTCTATTTTCTTTTTTCTGTTTTACAATGCTGGCTGAGTGTCCCAGAGGAGGCACTTTGCTTCCCAAGATTGTACATGTCTCCCTAAGAGGTTGCCTTTAGTTGGACTCACTGAACGGCACTCTCAGTGTGAAGTGGGGTGCTGAAGGACTAGAGGTCCAGCCTAAGGAGGCAGTGAAGCCACATGACTTGTCCTAGAGATCTCTAGGGAGGGCCTGGCTCTCTGACTGTTCCAAAGCTGGGGTCCTAGCACCAGTCCTTTGGAGCCATGACACAGCAACTCTCTTATTTTGTGTTTTCTACAGCACTGAACTCATTGCTGGCACTTAGCAAATAAATAATTGTCCTGCTCTGAGAATGTTTTTCTCCAGTCCTTCCAGTTTCAAGGGAGCCTTGGCTCCCTGGTTTTGATAGACAGCATTCATTATAAACCCAGAATTACTTATGCTCCAGCCATATTTAGGATTACTAGTGCTGATAATTATTTACACGAGGAAAAAAGAATCAACATAATGAGAATAGTAGACCGCTCTAGTTGTGACATGTCTACATGACACCTAGACATGATGAGAAGAGTCATTTACACCCACAGAAAGAGAACTCCGTATCTACTTCGGTTTCCTGCATGGATCATTTGCTGTGTTCCTCATGCGGAGTCTGTCCCACTCTGTCCCACACGGGCAGTGGGAGGTTGAGAGCCATGACGTGGGGAGCTCTCCGCATGCCCAGGCCAAGCCCTCAGAGTGCCTCGACACGTGAGGAGAGGAGCCCACCGGAGCAGGTTACAAGTCACCTGGAGCAATTAACTTTGCTGCGTCTGTAGCCTTCGCTGTTTGCGGTGTTCGGCTGAGCAGCGTCTGGGCGCGTTGCAGGAGAGGCTGATGCGGGCCCTGGCAGGTGCTGGGGGGATGCTCGCTGCGTGGGCCACTGTGCGGGACTGTGCCTGATTGCGTGTCACTGAGCTGCCCGCCTGGGAAAGCTGCAGCGGCCCCAGGCCCTGCCCCGGCAGGAGCCCTACCCCACAGTCCGGCTACTGCCCCCCCGCGCCAGACAGAGCCGCAGCTGTAGGAGCGGGGCGCTGGTGTCTCGCAGGGGCGCGGTGACCTTGAGGAGGGGGCGCTGCCGGGCTGGGAGCGGCGGAGGGGTGGGGGGAGAGGAGACAGCTGCGACACCGACACGGGGCGGGAGCTGCCCCTCAGCTCGTCAGCCGCCTCCCGTGGGCAGGCCGCGGCGGCAGCCTCTCTCCCGAATATGGTAAAGGGGCCGCTGCCCGCCGCCTGAGTTCGGCCCCAGCCCAGGCTCGGCGGCCGCCTCAGACAGAGCGGTAAGTAGCGCGGCGGTCTCGGCCCGCGCGCTGGGCGGGCAGCGCTGCTGGGGCGCGAGGCGTTACCCCGCCCGCGCTGCGAGCCGACAGCGCCACCCCCGCGGCGCGTGGCTGCTGGTGGGCTTTGCTGGCCGCCTCCCCGCTGCCGCAGGGCCGATGGCCGAGGGTCCTCGCGGGATTCCCCTGCGTTCTCCTGGCTCTGTCGCCGAGGGGCTCCAGCAGGCTGGCCGTGGGGATGGACAGGCGCTGCCGATCCAGGGTGCGCAGCAGCAGCGCGGGCTTCCCCGCCGTGCTCCTCCAACCCGGAGCAGGACAAGCCCAGCCCAGCTGTCGTGTCGGGGCTTCAGGCTGAGCCCGTGGTGTGACTGAGGCTGCCTGCAACGGGAGCCCCTTTGTGCTAGTGGGCTGAGCCACAAGGAGCTGGCACCCAGTGCTGCAAGGCTCCACGTCCCCTTTGAGTTCCCCGCGCGCCCAGTTGCCACTCCACTCCACCCGAGGGCTGTGCGATACTCTCCAGTGGCGCTTCCCGCGTCATTTTAGTACTGACACAGGCAGCAGCTCTCCTACAATGCGCTGGAGTTGGACATTTGGTCTCTAGGCAGCTTGGACTCCACATGGAGATAGATTTAAAATGTTAAGCTCTATGGGTTTCAGGTATCTCTTCACGTGCCATATTTGCGTTGTGAGAAATCTGTTTTTCTGTGCGCATTGTGGCAGTACGAAGTCAAATATTTTCAATAGTACAATACAGCAACGTCTGTCACGGACCCGTTATTAGAAGGGGGAAAGGAGACTCATCCATATGCATCGAGTTTACTATCCCTCTGGATGTGGTTGAATATGTATAAAGCCATGAATAAAACTTTATTTGAAAATGCGTGTGATTTTGCTTAGTGACTGGGAAATATTTTGCCTTTGGGACTGCAGCGTTGATACAGTGTACACGGACAATTAACACATTCAGCGCTGACTACCCAAGGCAATTTGCATAACTGTAAACTGCTCCCTTTTGTTTGACTTTATTCCAGCGATGGCTCTGATCGGAGAAGAGGACTACACCTATATTTACAACGATCTTTCTCACCCTGTGGACTTCCTGCAGGCTTTCAGAACATTTTACCGGGATGGCTTATTTACTGACATTACTCTTCAGTGTGCGTCTGGTGTGATCTTCCTTTGCCACAAAGCTGTTTTAGCTGCTTGTAGCAATTATTTTAAGGCAATGTTCACAGCTGACATGAAAGAAAAATCTAAAAATCAGATCAAACTTCCTGGGCTCAGCCACACTATATTGGAGGATCTTGTGAATTATGCATACACATCACAAATCCAAATAACAGAGAGAAATGTTCAAAGTCTCCTCCAAGCTGCGGATCTACTCCAGTTTGTGTCAGTAAAGAAAGCCTGTGAGCAGTTTCTGGTAAGGCATGTAGATACTGTCAACTGCATAGGGATGCACTCCTTCGCAGAGTATCACCTTTGTTCAGAGCTAGAGAAAGAATCTAGGAGGATATTGTTATCAAGATTTGAAGAAGTGTGGAGGCAGGAAGAATTTCTGGATATCAGCTGTGAGAAACTCCTGTTTATTCTCTCCAGAGAGAATCTCAATGTTTGGAAAGAAGAGGCAGCCATAGAACCTGTAGTTAAATGGATAGCATATGATGTGGAGAAAAGAATTGAATGCATTTTTGATCTGCTGAACTGCCTCAAAATAGATTTAAATGAAATATATTTAAGATCAGCCTTAAGCTTACGAAAGAAATACCAGCTTAATGAAAACAAGATAAGGTCTCTGATATACAATGCATTAAACACCAACCCAAAAGACATTTCCAAAAGGCCCACAGCAGCTATGTATGTGATTGGAGGATATTACTGGCATCCTTTATCAGAAGTCCATGTGTGGGATCCTTTAACTAATGCTTGGATACAGGGAACGGACATGCCTGATCACACAAGGGAGAGCTATGGGGTCACTAGTTTGGGACCCAACATTTATGTAACCGGGGGCTATAGAACTGACAACATAGAAGCCCTTGATATTGTGTGGATATATAACAGTGAAACTGACCAATGGACAGAAGGCTGCCCCATGCTTAATGCAAGGTACTATCATTGTGCAGTTACCTTGGGCGGCTGTGTCTATGCTTTGGGGGGCTACAGAAAAGGGGCTCCAGCACAAGAAGCAGAATTCTATGATCCTTTAAAAAAGAAATGGGTTCCCATTGCAAACATGATCAAAGGTATGTAACCTTTCCTATGGTTGCCTCAATGTCTATCCTTTTTCACTTGCCACTTGTAAACTCTACAGCCACATTTAGGGCAAACAGCTCCATAGAAGTACCAAGCCCATTGAAGTAAATGGGAGTTTTCCCATTAACTTTAATGGGTTTCGGTTCAGGTCTTTATTAGCCAAACCACTTGAAACATCCAAATATCTGAACTCTGTACAGTACTGTATCCAACAACACTAATGTAAATTTACAGGTAGTATGTTCAGTTTAAATGTTACCTTCTCGTGAGCAAAATTTCTGTATAAGGTATAGAAAAGTCACTATACAATTTCAGCCCTTCTGGTGCTGCATGGACCTTCAGAAAGTGACTTGTGGAACCAGAAGCTGAGTTCCAATAAAATTATCATAATATTTTGATTCAGATTGTACTCTAATGAAAATATCATTTAACTTTAGCTCCAATGGATGGTAATTACTTTGTATCCAAACAGCAGTTAAGTTCTATCTGATAAAAACTTCTGATCAGAATAACAAATTCCAGGTATCACAATGTTTACAATTGTGATCCATTTCTTTATAGCCACATTTCCATCATTCATAACTTCTGTTCATGTAATTTTATCACATCTCTGTGCATTATCAGTCCAGGGCTTTTAATTAGATCCTTGGTGGGAAGATGAAAAGTGCCAGCAATTTATTCTACAGATTGAAAAACATTTGATTTGCTTAGTTATTTTTAAATTTTGAATTTGAACTATTGCAAAGAGTAAACTGTATTATCTTGTTATCAAAGATAATGCAAGTAAAAAAAATCTGAATTAAATCACTGCATAATGTTTTTTTTTAAATTACATATTCTCTCTTTTATAAGCAGTCTGTAAAATACAAAACACCTAGAAAATGGATAATGACAATGTTAAAAATCAGTAAAATTCATACTGCTCATGCAGCCGTTACTTAGATGTCCAGACCTTTTACGATAAACCATTATTCTTCTTGATCTAATTTATTGCTAATTTATAAAGGAGTAGAATATTAGAATTATACTATAAACTATTTTTTCTGTTTTGTATAGGTGTTTTCTCTCTTGTGTTTTAGAAGCTTAAAAACATATAATTTCCTTGCTGATTTTTGTCCATATTAATTTGGCAAGCATTCATTTTTGTTACTATTTTTTTAATGGAGATAAAGTTGACATGGCTCCAATTTGTTTACTTCCTTGCTTGTACAACAGCATCATTAATGACGTCACTCAGAGGATTAAAACAGTAGAAACGATTCTGTAAGTTGTTGAGTAACCTCAATTCCCATTGAAGATTTTCTTGGTAAAGAAATGATTATTTTAAAATGGTATTTAAAATTCTCTATGAAATTAAAATAATTTTAAAATAAGTTAAATTTCCATCCTAACCTTGACAGTGCTTCTGTAATGCATGCAGTGTTGTTGTAGCCAGGTGGATCCCAAGATATTAGAGAGAAGGTGGGTGAGGTAATATCTTTTATTGGACCAACTTCTGTTGGTGAGAGAGACAAGCTGTGATATCTTTGCCAGGCCTGAAGAAGAGCTCTGTGTAGCTTGAAAGTTTGTCTCGCTCACCAACAGAAGTTGGTCCAATAAAAGATATTACCTCACCCACTTTGTCAGTGTTACTTTAAGTACTGCAAAACGAGGTACCTAAAATATAAAGGTTACACATGGCTTTTGTGTGGTCTGAAAAGATGGATTGATATTGATTAATATGCAATAAAATTTGTAAGAAGCTTTATTGTTTTAGTTTACTTTTCCTTATATTGACAAGATAAGGTGTCATAAGAGTTCTCTTTGGTGCTTTTATTACACATTCATTTACATACCTGGAAGAATAATTTTATACTAAAATATTAATTAATAAATAACTTCAACTTTGTATTATTGATGGAAGTGGCAGTGAGTATTCTGCAGAATCTGAAGGTGTGCTGTGAATTTTATACTATAAATAGGTGTTGGAAATGCCACAGCCTGTGTCCTGTGTGAAGTCATCTATGTAATTGGAGGCCACTATGGTTACAGGGGAAGCTGCACCTATGACAAAATTCAGAGCTACCATTCAGGTAGCAATGAATGGAGAATAGTCACTACAAGTCCACATCCAGGTAAACAGAAACACTTCCCTACGGAATATAGAATTTGACTTTGGTTACTTCTAGTTGGAAGTTTTAATGATCTTTGTCATTGCTTTAGATAATGTTTGTGATGTTGCAGTCTATATGGTTTTATAAAAATATGATAATAAATGAATATAATGTAACTGGGATATGCTTCATGCAAAAGGTCTCTTGTAAGGTATCATTACAAAGCTTATAATCTACTGAGTGTGATCATCCTATTTGTAGAAATGTACCACTCTTGTATCTAAAACTAGAAATATAAAACATAACTCTGAGGGCCTATTGTAATTATGTAAAGTGTGGGCCATTAATGATGGTTTGGAATCTTGATGACTCTCATTAACCAGGACCATTGTCTGCAGATGGCTGTGTTTACCAGTTAGTCTTCCTGTATGTGTGTGTGCTGGCAAGTGGGCAATGAAGTCTTGCAGTGACATGTGATCATGTCACCTGACCTGGAATCCATCTTTAACCTGGTGCTTTTCCAGTGAGGGGGGGTGGAAACCCAGAGGGACAAAGGGTTCCTGCCTTATGCAAAAGATATATAAAGGGGTGGAAGAGAACAAAGGGGGAGAGGAGCCATCATGAAGAATCCCCTAGATATCACCTGAGCTGGAACAAGAGCTGTACCAGGGGAAAGAATTGTGCCCAGGCCTGGAAGGTGTCCAGTCTGAGAAAAACTTACTGAAGCATCTCTGAGGGTGAGATTATCTGTATTTAGTTTGATTAGACATAGATTTGCGCATTTTATTTTATTTTGCTTGGTGACTTACTTTGTTCTGTCTGTTACTACTTGGAACCACTTAAATCCTATTTTCTGTATTTAATAAAATCACTTTTTATTTAGTAATTTACCCAGAGTATGTATTAATACGTGGGGGAGCAAACAACTGTGCATATCTCTCTATCAGTGTTATAGAGGGCGAACAATTTATGAGTTTGCCCTGCATAAGCTTTATGCAGGGTAAAACGGATTTATTTGGGTTTAGACCCCATTGGGAGTTGGGCATCTGAGTGCTAAAGACAAGCACACTCCTGTGAGCTGTTTTCAGGTAAACTCGCAGCTTTGGGACAAGTGATTCAGACCCTGGGTCTGTGTTGAAGCAGACGGGAGTGTCTGGCTCAGCAAGACAGGGTGCTGGAGTCCTGAGCTGGC